GCTTGTGCAATGTTTGCTGGGTAAATTTGCAATGTAAGAATTCATTGTTGTGTTTTCCACAGACACTGAAAGACTTGGAGAGATCTGCAAAAAGTGGAAAAACTATCAATGAAGATGACATTCCTCCTTCTGTTGCCACTGGCAGCCAGAAACCCACTGCAACACCACCTGTTGCCATGGAAGTGGATGAACCTCCCAAAGTGGCTGTTACTCAGCAGGAACCAGTGGAAATTGAACCTGTAAAACCAGTAGTGCCTGTGAAACCAGTAGAACCTGTCGTTGTTAAAGGTATATGTCAATATGCATTGTAAAATAACTTAAAAACATATGGTTCTTGAGATATCAGTGGAATACATACATACACACAGACACATTCACTTCATACCATCAGTGTGACGACACACATTGGATTAATATGGTTGAATTAGTTTTTAATATAGTGATATGAACTTGATTAAAACGTGATTCTATAAAGGGTTACATTTTAATTTGAGTTAATTGAACTCAATTCAATGCAATTCAACATAGAATTGTATTTTAATTCACGTTTAATTAAATAAAAGTTAAATATCCTGTGATATATTTGCAAAGTGTAGGTTTAGTAAAGGGAAAAGGTATTGTTCAATATATTTTAATATAATTGTACAATACCTACCCCTTTTACTAAACCTGAGCTACGTAAACTTAAATTTGATTAAATATTAATATGAATTATGAAAATAATGAAGGTTGTCACTTGGTAGGTGTAAAGTTAAATGAAAGTCGTAAGACATACAGACACACTAACTCCAAAGTCAATTGGAGTTAATTAAGACGCAAACATCCAATGTATTACAGTGCATGAAAACATCCAATGTATTACAGTGCATGAAAACATCCAATGTATTACAGTGCATGAAAACCTCCAATGTATTATAGTGCATGAAAACATCCAATGTATTACAGTGCATGAAAACCTCCAATGTATTACAGTGCATGAAAACATCCAATGTATTACAGTGCATGAAAACCTCCAATGTATTATAGTGCATGAAAACTCCAATGTATTACAGTGCATGAAAACATCCAATGTATTACAATGCATGAAAACATCCAATGTATTACAGTGCATGAAAACATCCAATGTATTACAGTGCATGAAAACCTCCAATGTATTACAGTGCATGAAAACATCCAATGTATTACAATGCATGAAAACATCCAATGTATTACAGTGCATGAAAACATCCAATGTATTACAGTGCATGTAAACCTCCAATGTATTACAGTGCATGAGAACATCCAATGTATTACAGTGCATGAAAACATCCAATGTATTACAGTGCATGAAAACATCCAATGTATTACAGTGCATGAAAACAATCAAAAGAAGACAACGGGTATAGATGATGAACACATTTTTTATGCCAACTGCATTCTTTTTTTTTTGATTACTTGGTTTGAAGTTTAAGGGATTTCAATACCACAACAGTTATAAATATGTAATTACTTTGTCTGATTTTAATGTTTTCATTGAATAATTAATTACCGGATAAAATGCTTAGAGACATCATTGACACAACAGTTTTAAAGCTATGCCAACAGTTAAAAAAACGGGGACTTATGTTTTGACCTCCGTGCGCGCGTGTGTGTGTGTGCGTGCGTCCGGACCTGTATTTTGAAAATGCCTGGACCAATCACAATCAAACTTCACACATACATCATACATGATATTATACATATGCACGTCAATTTGTTTCACGATCTGATTCAAGATGGTCGAATGGCAGCCATTTTTGTGCTAAAAATCATCAAAATCAAGCATTTCCCAGCTGTTTACAGATGGATTTTGTTCAAACCTTGTATATACGTTGGACATTATAGGACCTTGATGCGTATGATTTTGTTTTACGATCTGATTCAAGATGGCCAAATGGCGGCCATTTTTGTGCTAAAAAATCCTAAAAATCAAGCGTTTCTCAGCTGTTTACAGATGGTTTTTGTTCAAACTTGGTATATACATTAGACAATATGGGACCTTGATGCAAATAATTTTGTTTTTCAGATAAGATGGCGGCCATTTCGTTTTAATGAATGTGGTTCTCGTGTCATATCTCTGACTTGCTTTCACTGATTATGTTCAAATTTTAAATATTCATTATACATCATGTCATGGATAGACAGATTGGTTTGGTTTGATGATCCTATTCCAAATGGCCAAATGGTGGGATTTTTTGTGCTAAACAATCATCATATATCAAGCATTTTTGGCATTTATGGATGGATTTCATTCAAACTTGGTACATACATTAGACATTACAGGCTCCTGATGCACATCATTTTATTTTTCAGATTGGATTCAAAATGGCTGACTGGCGACCATTTTGTTTTAATGATTGGGCTTCTAGAGCCATGTCTCTTTAATGCTTTGACTGATTATGTTCAAATTTTATATATTCGTTATACATCATGTTATATATATATACATGTATTCAAAATGGTTGATTTTGTACTTGTTTGACGATCAGATACAAATGTCAATCATTTTAATATTAAAAAAATCAAATTTCTGACATGGTTATATTCCAGCTGTATACTACATGTATAAACAAAACTATATAATCTTAAATTTGATAATAACGGGGACTGTGCCATGCATGGCATGTTATTTTTATATATTGGTTTATATGTTTATATGACCGTTATTTAAGGTTTAATTTCTTGATTCAAGTATATAAAAAGATAGTTATTTACATTGAAAAACATGTTTAGGTGTAAAACTTTAGCCCCATATGCAAGGTTGGGTACCTAAGTTTTAGCCACCTTCAGTATGTGTTTGTTATGAATGCATAGAATTCATGCTAAATCTTCTATTATCCACAGATGAAGAATACTATGCAAGATTTAAACTATTGAGTGAACGGAAAGATCAATACAAGATGGCTGCCTTGGTAGCTAAAAAGCAAAATGACATCCAGACTGCATCCGCACATTATAAGATTGCAAAGGTATTGTCAAAACAGTACAATCACAATATACATCTTTTACTACTGACTTTATTACATGTAGGAATTCTAACTCGCATCTTTCAAGGCACATATTAATATGTGCAGTTCCATTATTTTCAGAAAAATTAAGCTAGAAACAATGTTATAAAAGGATGCTTTTTCAGCTAAAAATAAATATCCTGGCCTCACGTTTTTGTTAGTCCCCGTTCAGACGTAGTCTGAAAATGGGGACTTGTGGTTTGCCCTGTGTGCGTTCGTGCATGCGTCCGTGATCACCTGTATCTCGAACATGCATGGACCGATTAGGTTCAAACTTCACTCATACATCACACATTATATGGGACATATGCACATGCATTTTTTTCATGATCCGATTAACAATAGCAAAACAGCGGCCATTTTAAGGCCGAAAATGCATCAAAATCGCACATTTTCACCATTCCAGACCCGGATCTCAGTTATGCATGGACGGATTTTGTTCAAATTTGGTTCATACATTAAACATAATAAGACCTTGATGCACGTCATTTTTTTTTGGATCGGGTTTGAAATGGCCGACTGGCGGCCATTTTGTTTTA